TGCAATTTCCTTGATTTTCGACATTTCGAATATTTCGGCATTTGTCCGAGAATGATTTACCAGCCAGTGCGACCGCGGATGAGTTCCGTGCAATTGCATTCTATAAAAGCGTAGCGCGGAAACGAAACGCGCGGTCGGTCGATTCTGTTCGAAACTTTCCAATTTATTTTCCGGGGATGATTCTCGGCCGTGAATAGCGAGTACGCGAACCATTTTCGAACCATCGATTTGTATTTGGATTTCATTTATAAACCGGCAAAGTATAAAACCAGCTGGAAATATGCTCGATGTCGCTGACCGTGCCACACTGAAGATTAATCGCGCTTCCCAATGTGAAGACAGGATAAATCTCCCTTATCACGTTTACCGAAACGAGATGGATTCCCGTCGACGAGAGATATCGCCGATCTACGAAAATAGATTGGTGAAACTCAAATGACGGTAGTGTTTTTATATTCGCATGTTCGTTAACGGCAATTTAATATTCCGTTCAAGTATTTCGCATTTTGAGAAGAAATGATCGTTTTACGTGAGCCATCAGATAATCTCAGCAGGAAATTAAGAAATGTTCTATAATTAGATAATTTAATTCATGTTCTATTATACATTTCTCTTGATATAAGAAAGAAAATGAAATTCATAATCACAAAATTAATTTTTAGTACACATAATTGGATCATTCGATGTTCTTGAATATTTCTTTTCTTTGAAATAAGGAGCATTAAGTAATTAATTATAATACTTATATATAACTTTTTTAAATGCGGAAACTTACAAATATTTTCTAAAGATGTTCAAGAGTATATGTAAGAATTATTGTATATTTAATCTTTAATTACACAATCCGATCCTTTATACATGATGAATCGTTTTAACCTGTTTTTATTACTTTTATATAAAAATTAAATGAACTTTAACGTATACTTTAACAATTTTTTTTAGAACGTATTTTTAAAGTTGTGTATTTAAAAAAAAGAAAAGGATAAAGATATTTCAAACAAATGCATAAGACACGAATAACCCAATTGTGCGTATTATAAGAGTTAATGTAAAAGTAATGAAAATTAACTGGAAACAAAACGATTCATCATAATAAAAGACTAAAAAGTCATCTGTGTATTAAGAGAAAAATTATGAATTTAAATTTAAATATATTTTTTACTTCAACACATAATTTTTCTCATACGATAATTTTTCTCAAATGTAAATATACCCATAAATAGCCATAAATACGTATAAATACTATATATGTACTCTAAATTCTTTCTTTTTGAGATTTCTTGTGTATCAAAATTAATATTTTTCTACATATAAATATTACGAATTTCATATGAATTTTGCAAAAAGGTTCAAGCAATGAAAAATTCTCGAATATGGTTAACCTCGTGCATTGCATAATAAATTAGTCCGCTGTATATGAGTCTGCCGGGAAATATGGCAAAGATGTACGTTGGTGCGGAGTTTCTTGCCGAGAGATTTCTTGCCAAATCATTTGAACTTGCAGCAAATTGCAACAAGTTTGGCCACTGAAACTTTCAAGACTCAGCAAAAGATAATAAAACAGTTGGACGTGATTAGAAATTGAAAGGGGCGAAAGGCGCGAAGATGTTGCCACGTGACATAAGAATGTGATAAATCTTGGGCGATTACTGCGAAAAGTTTTGCGGATTCTTGCTAGAGATTCACAAAATTATAGTTATATATTTCCCAAGTTTTTTTATTTAGAAATGAAATTGGAAAATCTCTGTCGCTTTCTCTTTTTTTTCTTCTCTTTCACATGTGCAAATTTTAATAAATTGTATTGATCTTTTTGAATTAAAAATTTAAATTAGAAGTATTGATCGTTGGTTTCTGTTACTTGCTTTTGAATAAAAACGAATGATAAAATACAGAATAAAATTACACTCCCAAGTCAATATCGAACAAACTACATGGCAAAAAGATAAAAATGTATATATTATATTATTATTCATACATGAATTATGATTAAATATTCTCAAGAAGAATAAAATTATGAACTTTACATGCATACATGTGGAATTTTTGTTATGTTTATCAAATTAAATAAAAAAAAGATCTTTTTGGATTTTTTATGTACACAGAAATTACGTCAACTGTACAGCTAATTAAATGTCAAACGGAGTATTTGAGGGAAATCTTTTTATACAGAAAACGCATTTGAGCATATTCTCCATTATCCGCCACCATTAAGTACACCCACGGCGCAATCGTTTATTAAACGACAAAACGCGACAAGAGATTCTTGGATCATTGCAATTTTTTTCTGTCGCAGGTGCTGTCGACGCATAACCGACGTTTCTCTGCCGCATCGATTCGTTAGAGAATATCCGTAACGAAGCGTGCGCAGCGTGTTTCGCCCTTTCGGAGTTATTATCGCGACCGCGTGTCGCATTGTAAACCACAGCTATCGTTTTCCATTACGCCGTATAGACGTAACGATCTGAACAATGCTCAATTAACAAGGTATGCACACGCGAGCCGAGCCACGCGCAGCTTTTACGAATTGAATCAGAGTTAGCGTAGTGATGACATCGATACATCAATCCACTCTACAAAGGCGGATAGGTACATGTACAAATTCAAAAGGTTTGAAAGACAAACGTTTAAAACATTTCAATTTAGAAAACGAATGTCGAGAGGGACGAATTTTTATTCCATTAAAATTTGTATCTATCGCGTTAACTACTCACACTCCCCCTCTTAATGTTGAAAAAATTGGTGACTATCTAGAAAAGTGGATTTTCATTTTATGCGTAAAAGAGGACACGAATTAATTCCCAGTTAATTAAGAGCTTCCCATTTTTCCCCGTAATTTTTATTATTAATCCTTAATTGAATACTTAAGTATATATTTAAATATTTTATAACTAATTTAATATAATTGAGCGACACTTTTTTCTGCTTGATTTATCAGTTTCATAAAAAAAAAAAAAAAAAAAAAAAAAAAAAAAAAAAAAAAAAAAAAAAAAAAAAAAAAAAAAAAAAAAAAAAAAAAAAAAAAAAAAATCCACTGAATGGTACATTTTTTCAATGGATCAATGAATAATCACCGATAGTATTTTTCGCGTGTATGTATACGTGCACGTGCTGAGACACACACGCATTCGTTCAATTTCACCGCGAATGCGTGATCGAACTTATAATACGGACCGCATGTAAAAGAAGCTCGTTATTACTCACAGTGCTTGCTCCATTGCATTTCTTAAAACTAGATCATAATTTTCACTCACGACATGACATGAACATAAAATAACATCGTTTTCATACTCATTGAGCACACGTGAAATTTAATTGGTTCAACCGTTATTGAAATAGACGTGAAAAAAGGATACTCTTCCTCCTTAGTCCTATTGCTTGTGGCCGAGCGTGGTGATTTCTCTCATATGCTTGTGAGGATGATTGTACACAATCATATGGGAGCTACAGTTTAATGTCGATTCCGAACGAAATTGTGTTAGAAAAGTGCTCTTGACAAAGATACTCTCGATGGGATACTCTCCTTCTGAGAAGAGAAACGAGCATATAAAAATATTTTTGGTTTTACCGGGAATCGAACTTGGGATCTCTAACATAGCAGAGCAATGCGCTGTCACGCTCGCTCTCAAGAAACAAGGATAGTATGACACAAATAGCACTGATAGTGCGCTCTCCAAATTTCTGCGCATTCCTGATTTCTGCGGAGTGCAAAATGTGCAAAATGCAAAAAATAACTGCGTTCGATATTGGCAGTGTGAATGCATCCAACTGTGCATCGCCTAGCGTCTCTTGCGCCAAAAATTCCAGCCATTCTGGGTGATCGACAAATTTTAATAATAATAATAATGACACATATCTTAAAAATGATGATTCAAAGATCAAATTCAAAGATTCAGAAATTTGCATTACAATATCTCCGCTCACAGGGCACATAGAGAAAAAATAAAAGCATTTTTATTATACAATCCGAGTGGAAGCTATCGATTCAACCTATATAGAACTTGATTAGTTCATGTCGTTATTGAGATCCGATAATCTCGGTCCGTCGATTCGGGTAAAGGAGCACGGTCGGTTTCGCGTCATGACGTCGCTGCGCTTGTCTTAACGCCGAGACACTATACCGTGTTTCTAAATTAAATAATACAATGAACATTGAGTCGTGTGTTACGATAACGTTTATTATTTAAGCTCTTAGTAAGATAGCTTTATAAAAATTTAAATAAATATCAAAATTTTTATTTAAATTCATGTTTATTAAATTATTTATATTTATAGTACTTAATAATATTATATATAAACAGCAGCATGATTAAGAAGGAAGTACAATTCCAGTTTTATATAATAACGATTTAAATTTCAATATACATAGTTAATATAATCCGTTTAAATATTATAGAATAATATAATTATTAAACAATTCAAATTTTTATTAAAAAAGAATTGAATAATTTGTATAGAAAATGTATTAGTAATATATAAATAAAAGACTATTTTTATAAACCTATCCCTTTAAACGTTATGTTTTAGTGTTCATAAAGTGTGCTTTTCACATTAATTTCATATTATATCTGTTAAGCTACCCCCTCCCCTCTCAAAAAAATTAAAGTGATACCAGAATTTCAAATTCAAGCAAATAAAATTAATCGTGAGAGGAATGGATCGAAAAGATAAAAACATATAATTCTAAATGGCAAAAATAGTAATAAATGATAAACAACAAGTTATGCTCAAGTTTGTAATATTTGTATGTTAAAGCAGATACAATGGAATATTGAAAACGTATAATTGAAATTTTATACATCTACATTATACGTATTTTACGTACACATGTGTGTATGTGTGCGCGCGCGCGTGCATGCGCGAGTGCACGATGTACACATACACTCACATATACATGACATATATATTTATACATGTATATATCAATGTATATTAGCAGATATAATTAAAATATATATTGTATATATTTTAAAAGTATATATAATAGTAAATACATATATTAAAGCACAGGTCCATAATCTCCCAAAACAGTTCTTCTTTTTAACCATGCAAGGCTCATTCAACTGTGCAATATTGTGCGCCTATAATAAAAAAAAAACGATACATATCGATCCTCTTTTACAATGATTTTTAGAAAGTTTCATACTTCTAATTCGTCTTTTTCCGCCGACTCTTACCTGGAGTTACATATACTATCCAGTCCATAAAAGCACCTACACGCATGTTTATAGAAGGTTCGTTTGAAGCACAGCCGGTACCAGCAGATATAGTACCAACCAATATAATACAACCTGTGTTAGGATCATTCCATAAAAGAGGTCCGCCACTATCAAACTAAATTACACAAACAGAAAAAGAAGAAATCTATTATTTAAAGATAGTTTTTTGCATCACAATTCTTGAAAAATACATTTTGTACATTTAATTGGTATTTAAATTCATAATAAAGAAACTAATTCTTCACCTGACACGTATCCTTTCCCGAAGTATAAGTATACATTATGTCGTTTCTATTTGAGCGTTTGTCAGGTGACACTACCTGTAAATTTACTTTTTGGAGCGCAGTGGATTTCTTACCGGCATATTCCAGTAAACCCCAGCCTATAGATTGAATGATGTTAAAACAGATAATTATATTAATAACTATGAAAATACTCAGGAAATGCTAACCCAACGCAGTGACGGTAGCATCAATGAACGAGTCGTATTTATGTTGAAATGGTAAGCAGACCGGACCAACCGCAGCGTTATATTCGATGCTTTTAACAGTCTTACAAACAGCTATATCATTATCATCTTCCTTGACATTGTATTCAGGATGAATTGTACATTCGTATAGCCAATATATCTTGGTTGCGTTGGTCTCCTTACCTATCCGCAAAGTATAATGTACAAATTTAGTATAAACTCCAATATTAAATTCAATATTAAATATGTACCTTATATTATACTGTAAAAATCTTATATTAATAAACGATGTTTCATTATACATTCATTATTTTTTACATATAAACGACAATATTTTAAATTCTATTTATATTAAATGTTACTTCATTATTAGCTACTCATCCCTCGTAACTTTGAATAAAAAGTTTCAATTCAGTAAAGAATGAAGTTTATGATCAAATAAAAAGAAATAAAAAATAATATTTGCTCCCTTCCTATAAAAACATCTTTTTTCTAATAACAAAAAAATTATAAAAGTTTCATCACATTAACTTTTTCAAATAAATTTGTATTACAAGCAGAAAATAGTTATTCAATTTTGCATCGTTGCAACTGTAATCATAAATTTCATTTACTTAATATCTTTCAAATATTTATTGCCTTTAAATATTATTGTGTATATCTTATCAACGATTACCTGTTTTTACATTATGTTCGCCAACAACTACGGCAGTCTTAGTAATATTTTTTTCGTACACGCAATGAGCTGCTGTTATTACATATTGCTTAGATATTATAGTAGCACCGCATAATATCTCATCCTCTATCTCATCCATACTCACAAGCCCAGCCATGTAAGGAAATTCATTTACTTTGGTTTCCTTACCGCCTACTATTCTAGTCTAATAATAAGTAAGCAATGTAAATATTTATTAATCCTGAACAAATTACTATTTTTAATAAATTGTTTCATAGTTGATTAAAGCCAAATTACAAAGAATACGGAAAAAAATCACTGATTCAACAAATCTACCGTTGAAATATACGGACAGTCAGTTTTCTATTTTAAAGTAGCGAAGTTGACAACTCTCCGAATAACATTAGCGATTTGTTAAATCTTCATCAAATCTTCTTTATAGTTATAGATGTTGAATTCGCGCAGTAAGCTGTAGCTTTGCTGTATCACCTAATCTATTTTTTTTCGCGTAAAGCAACCAATACGAAATAAATCAAAATATTCTAATAAATAAGTAGCATCTCATAAATTAATTTAACTTACCACTTTTTTCTTACAACACTGACAGGTATCAGTTTTAATTTCACATTTAAATAGCGAGGGAAATGTCATAGTAATATCTGAATTCAATCTTTCGAAGGCAATTATATTCTGATCACATTCGATATAAAGTGAATTTTCATTATCGAAAAGAAATATATTTTTAGTATAGTTACCATTCTGTAAAATAATTTAAATTATTTGCGTGCGCGCGCATGCGCGTTCTTTTTGTCTTTCTTTAAAAACTTTAGCAATAATTATAATAATACAAATTCTAAACTTGAATAAAATTTTTATAATATACTTAAAAATCTAATTAAGATATATGTATGTCCCAATTTCAAACAAAATTTATATAACAAACTTACTAGATCAATATAACACGTTACTTTAATAATGGAGTTGTGCTCACTTTCAACTTTCCAAATGTTTGGACAGTTATTATTTCCTAAATACAGTGTTTGTCCATCTTTTAAATTCAAAACCTGGTAATAATTAGGTTCAACTCCATTTAGCACCAAAAGAGACAGCACCAAGCCGAATAAAACCTTGACTATAATAATTATACTGCTTTATAATTACATATACTAATAAAACTCATATTAGTATAGAGTTTTCAATGTGACATTTACGACATCTGAATTTGATAATATTAATTGATAAAGTTCATCATTTCGTTTTGTGGTCGACAAGTAATTGTAAATTTTTTTATCTAGAATAATACTAAAATATACGAAATAAAAGATATTAATATATCTATATTTTATATCGTATGTATTGTTATGTATTGTAAGTAGTACATGTGTGTATGTTATGTTTTTTTACATTATGTTTTTACTTATATATTTACTTATATTTTTCATTATGTATACTACTTACTATCGAAAAGTTTCCGGACGTGGAATTTTAAATTGCACAATATTCCGATCACTACAATTGTGATATGATATTTGAATAAAAAAATCATCGCGGGCAAAACAAAAACAACATAAGTATACTCATCCACAAAAAAAATACACAGAAAATTTAAGAAAAATTTATCAAATTTTAAATGATCATAATTTGATAAATAATGAAGATTAAAAAATGTTTGAAAATTCAAAACGACGCTTGAAGTGTTTATTCTAAGAATATTTGAATAAGAATAATTTGTACTGGGCCATTATTTTAAAATTGGCAGATGACAACGTAAGAAGATAGAAAATTGATAATTAAAGGTCCAAATATTGTGACAATGATATAGCGTGAATCAGATGTCGCAACCTGATGGGACAAATGCAAATGAAATTTTATCTTTAAAATGCTTTTTTACGGAATTCGATACAATGATTTTTCGCTGAGTTATTCCAAATTTAAGGTACCGCTACTATAAGTTAAAATTATGTATATTGTAATTCATCCCAACATAGAATTTAAATGATTAGAATTGAATCTCATTTTGTGTGTGTATATACACGCGAGCGTGTATGTACGCATACAGAAATTTATGCACATATTCACACGCGCACACGCACGCACGCACGTATACGCCACTGAGATTCAATTCCGATCAAACAAGAGTCAAACTCTATGCAGTTCGTGTTGGAATGAATTACAATCATAATTTTAGCTTATGATAACAGTACTTTAAATTAAGAATAACTCAGCAAAAAATGATTGTATTGAATTTCATGAAAAAGCATTTTAAAGATAAAATACCATATTTTCATGTGCATTTTGTTCCATTAGGCTGCGACATCTGATTTGCGCTATGGATCGTCACAATTTCGGTCCTTTGTATATCAATTCCGCATCTCCTCACTTTGTTATCTACATTTTGAAAATAATTTAAAATTCTTATTCAAATATTCTTAAAGTGGACACTTCAAGCTTCATTTTGTATTTTTAAACATATT